GAATAATCTGGGAATTAAAAAAGAAAAAAAATCACTTCCCAGGTCCCGTCCCCAGACGAATTGAATCAGGATCTTGGGGGATAGGACCTGGGAGTGGGATATTTTTTTAAGTTCCCCAGGTGGTTCTGATACACAGAGAGGGTAAAAACTCCTGCCCCAAATCTCATAATACATTCAGAAGATACATATCATTAGCCTCATTTTATGCGTAAGCAAACTGAGTCTCAGGGAGGCAAAGTGTCTTGCCCAAAGTTACAGCAAAAATGTGGCAAAGTCAGGATTTAATCCTTGGTCTGATCCCAAAGCCCATATTCCTTTGGCCCTCCAGGTGGTTGCCTACATGACAAGTTGGCATTCCCTCTAACTCCAGGCAGTGTTCACTGGGCTTTGAGGTTGTACTCAAGGAGCAACTCCTCTCTTCCTTCCCCCTGTCTCCTGCCCTCTTCTCCCCTGCCCAAAACCCCACCACCAGAATCAACCAGATTTCATTATCAGGAGTTCACACAGATATACTGGGTTGATGCCACTGCCTTTGGGTGATAGTAGCAGCTCAGGGTAATGCCCAGCATGGGCCTCCCAACAGTCCCAGATCCTCCTGGCCATGTATCAACATTCCTTCCTTGAATCAGCCTGAGAAGACAATAGCCCTGAGCTCATAGCACAGCAAGTTGCTTTTCTGGGCAGAATAAAAAATAAATAAATAAAAAATTTAAAAAGCAAATACTTAAAAAGTCAAATTAAATATCACAGGGAAAAAAGGCAAAATCATGAAAAAATGTGGTCAATCATTAGCAGAGAGGTTGAAAAGACACGCTCCAGTTGCTTTAAAAACTCACAGAAACCAGGTCTCCTTAAAATAGTTTTACAAAGTACACTGAGAATTCCATGCAGTAATATGAAACATAAGTCCCCCTGCTGCCCCTGATCATGCTTTAGCTGGCTAAGCTGAAGGAGCTTGACATTAACCCAAGGCTCTGCAAAACTCAACAGGAAAGTGCAATGCAGACACAGTTGCAAACCTGCCCCATATGTGTACATTTTCTGCTCCATTAAAATGACCTGGACAAGAGGCAAAGTACATCTGGCTGGTAGAAAGAGGGAGTTAGGGGAGGGGCAGGGAGAGGACAGTCAACCTCATCACAGGCCTCCCACTCCCCAGTCATGCTTCCCCCCAATCCTTACCCCACACTGCTTCTAGTCTAAAATGTCTAAAATGCAAATATGACCACAGGCCTTCCAGGATTCCCCAGAGCCAGACTGCTTTGTTAATTTTCTTAACTCTATAATGGGGTTTATAATACCCACTTCAAGGGTTCAGTGTGAAATTAATTGAAATCATATATATTTGTTGCCTGGCATGCTTGGTTTGTAAGTAAACTTTGGAGGAAAAGTAGATATCACAATGATCATCACTGAAACCAGGTCATATGAGGAGAGACAGGTGAAGGAAGTGAAGAGGTCTGGGCAGAAGACAAACAAGATCCTAAAGAGATAGGATCCCCAGTTCTTCCATATCTGATGGGCTGGCATGAGACTCTTGGTGGTGAACCTAGTACGACAGCTACAAGGTGAAAGCTTCTTCCTCAGTGTAAGTATGAAAGACCTTGCTAACAGTCAGTAGTGTCCCAAAGATAAGGCGTGCTGGCAAACTTCCTAACATCAGAACTATATAAGAAGCATCTGGAGGAACACTTGGCAGGGATATTGAAGAGGGGATTCAACTGTGATTTGGTTGAACCTGACATCTTTAGCCACCTCTTTAAGTATGAAATCTGTACTTTTGAACTGTCTTTGTGTGCCAATCAATGAATCATCCATCAACAGCTTTAGTTTCTGGTATGTGTAAAGCCTGGGGCAACAGTCTCTGGATCAAAGAGGTACTTTGACTTTGGTTTTCACTAGGACAGAGGAGGCACACTTAGTAGGTTCTCTAGGAGCTGTGTTAAAAGACTGACTGTGTGATACACACAGAAAGCAGGAACTCTGGGTGTCTTTCCGTTGCCCTTAGGCTGCTGAAGTGTGTCTCTTTGAGCATCTTTAACATGCCATTGCTTCTCTAGAATCCATTCTGTGCACCTACATGCAAAGTGAATTGAGTCCGTGTTTACTCTGTTGGCATCCACGTCATTATTTGTTCTTTGCTTCTTTCTGGGTTCTTGGAAAATGGAACTGCCCCCTTATGAGAACGATTTACACTGACTTGGATGGGGAATTTGTTTGAACCTGAGGGTGCAGTGATACTTAATATGTTCATGGATGTGTCTGTCTCACAAGAAGTAGACTCAGTGATCTGCGCTTTGATCACCAGGAATGGGAAAGACAGAGCTGGGATTCAGCCCCAGCTCTGAAAAGAAGGGACAAATGTTCAGAAAAACCACGCAAGAGGTTTGTTATTCACGCTGTGTCTTTCTTTAATGCATTTGTTTTATAAGCATTTTCTCCCCAGCCCTGTGCTAGGATCCTGGGATGCTGAGGTTACATGGCTTTTTTGTCCCCCCTCAAAGAGCTCATTCTAATGAGGGAAGATAAAAGGTGCTGGGACAAAATAGTAGAAAGAAACTGCCTGTGCTTGAGGAGAGAGGCTGGTTGGGGAAGCTTCAGAGAGGAGGTGACATCTGAGCTGGCCTTCAGGGGAGGCTGAGGTCACTGTGCACTCCAGGAGGAAGAACTTCCCAGGATGAGGGCAGAACCAAGCACAAAGGCTTGAGACCTGATAAAACATGCTCTCTCGGGAAATGTCAAATAGTGTAATGTTTCTGGAGTGTACTGTGTGCAGGAAGGTGGCAGAGATGAGGTTGGTAATGTATTTTGAGGTCACTCTCATTTAGATGGGCTAGGAGGTTGGCCATGGTGCTACTTGAAATTATTTCGCAAACATAGTTTGGAGCTTCATGGTATTTCATTAAATATGGCCAGCTCTGCACGACTCATCTTGCGAATTATCAGAAGTCTTGCTACACATTACTTCCCCTTGACCACCGTAGGAACGTATTCTTAAAATAAAAACTCATGTAAGATCAGTCCAAAGAAATCATAATCATGAAGATAAACCTGCTGGAACAGTTCAGTGTGGCTCCTCTTTTTTTCCGCAAGTATGTGGGGCAACAAAGGCTCAACATCTGTATCAGGACAACATGTGTTCATAACTGGCTGTCACTGCATTTATGCCAGAGGCTAAGTTTAAGGGAACTAGATCTGACCTGTACATTTGGATCTGGGAGCTGCATGTTGATGGCCCTCACCTGTATAATGTACTCCCCAAATCACAGTGAAATAATCTGGAGGTTTTTGGTTTATCTACTTAATCATTAGTGTAGCTGATCTGAAATGTGAGCCCAGCGCTTTTTAAAAAAAATAACGTGTAATGCTTTCTGACTATAAAGTAATCCCTGCTTATTGTGGAAAATAGTTACATAAACACACAAAGGAAAATAAAATCGCCCACCACTACTAAGAAACGACATTTTGGCACATTTATTTTGTCTTTTTCTTACAGGTTGAGTTCGTTAAAATGAATTTTTAAAAAAATATAACATTTAATTCAGCCTGCCACCTCAATTCAGCATTCCTCTATGAGAACACTTTTCTCACCATAACATAATTACTTACTTACACTTTTTTAATACTTTCAGACCAGATTGTAAGGGTTTCCAGGACAGAGAAGGTGTGTTATTCATATAGTAACCTAATTTGGGCACAGGAATCCAAAATTGAGACTCAAGTTCTGGTACACTGTCTTACACCACAAGAGATCCAGGTTTTTGTGCTGTCTGTTCATCTCTCTATCACCAGCCCTTAGCCCAGAATCTGGCATGTAGCGCATACCCAAGTGTATATTGGTCGCTTGAATAAAAGTATGGGTGGACTGAATGTGGATGTTTATTTATTATTATTTTTCACCCCAAATTCACTGAGCCCCTATCAGGTGCCAGGAATATAAGTAGTCATATCTGATACAAAGCCCACCCTCTCAGAGGCGTCAGTGCAAGGATGCTGACCCCCTCTAATGTAGGATGGGGTTCCTATGACACATAGCCCAGTCAGAACTCCTCGAGGTGCTCCAGAAATGCCCAGCTAGCCCTGGGTTTGCCTTCTTCCGACCACGACCACCCCTCCTCTCCCTGCTCATTCCAACTGGTCCCAGTTCAGTGACAGGCATTCTGTGGAGGGGTCCTTCACTGGAGGAAGACGACAGGGGAGAAAAGCTACCCTGCTTCCTCCAGCTGAGAGGGGCCCTTGACAAACACTCCACTGCCCCAGCCAGCTGGTCCAACTGGAAATCCCAGATAAGCCCCAGTTTCTGGTCAGAACTAGTTTGGCAGCACAGGGGGAACATTTCTGGCTGACTGACCCTCCCCACAGGGGAGCTGGCGGTTTTTGCCAGAAAGAAAAAACCAATGAACTAAAGGGGTTGAGAGGAGCGGTTTCAATTATTTGATACACTCCAAAATTCTACTCTCTTGCAAGTGCAAGTTTACACTTAGGATTCCAAACAAGATTGCCCCCTGCCCTGCATTTATTCTCTCACACTCCTCTCCTGTGCAGTGCAGTTTTGTTGCAATGCAATTTGTGTTGTAGTGCGACCGTTGAAGCCACAAATCCTGCACGCGGCGCGACTTTGAATATTAGTCAATGCATTTTTTTCCTGCAAGGCTATTGTTATTATCATTATCGCGATTTAGCGTCTCTGCCCTTTCCCCTTCCTCGGCGAATCGCGCTCCGGCTGTGATTGCTCGGGTCTGACTTCGCGAGTGGCGGTGCGCTTCCAAACCCCCTCCTCCGCCCCCCGCCCCCCTCCCTCCAGGTTCCGCGCCCAGGCGAGAGCAGCCGATTGGCAGAGCGGTGCTTTCAGGAACAATAACAGCGGGGGGAGCCCGGGTCCCGGGAGCCGCCCCCGCCCCCCGGCCCGGCCGCGCGGCTCGCGCCCCCCGCCGGCTCCCCACCTCCGCGCCCGCCCCGCGGGCTGACCGGCCGACCGGGGCCCGCCCCCGGCGCCCACCATGTACGCCTTTGTGCGGTTCCTGGAGGACAACGTCTGCTACGCGCTGCCCGTGTCGTGCGTGCGCGACTTCAGCCCCCGCTCGCGGCTGGATTTTGACAACCAGAAGGTGTACGCCGTGTACCGGGGCCCGGAAGAACTGGGCGCCGGGCCCGAGAGCCCCCCGCGCGCCCCCCGCGACTGGGGCGCGCTGCTGCTCCACAAGGCCCAGATCTTGGCGCTGGCAGGTGAGCGAGCGGTCCGGGAGGGACTCGGGGGCCGGGAGCCGGGGAGGGGGCCGGGGGAAGCCGCTGCTTGTTCCGGCCCCCTTCTCCTGTCCCGTAGGCTTTTCTTTAGGGGACGGGGTGTCTCTAGAAGGCCAGACCAGTTAAAAATACGAGATGGTCCCCTTTGTCTTCCCCGCTTCCCCGACACCTCCCGCGCTGTCAGTCTGTCTCCATCTCTCTGTGTCTGTCCTACTCTTTCTGTTTCTGTCTCTTCTCGGCTCCCTCACTTTCCTGTTCTCTCCCCGCCTGTTTGTACGTTCATTTCTCTGTCTCTCACCTTTACCTCTCTCTCAGTTCCTTCCCTCTCTGCTCCTTCTGTCTCCTCAAGTTTCTCTAGCTGTCTGTCTCTCCCTTTAAGGCCCTTAGTACCGCCTGGGAGTGAGAGGCAAGGCTTGATATTGTCAGGCTCTGCCAGGTGGGAGTCCCTCTTCACAGAGGGAAGCTGTGACATCCTTGCCTCATTCGGGCCGTCACTGGACAGGATGAAGAGGCCTTGATCACTGGGTGCTGGGTGCCACTCTCTCCTGCCCCTCCCTGGTTAGGTGGCAGAGGTAAAGCAGTAGTGGCACTTAGCATCCCTCAGACTCCACACCCCTTTTGAATCTCCCAGAAGGCTCTCTGAGTGAGAGATGAGGGCCAGGAAAGAGTTTCTAGGTCAGGATAAGACCAGACCTCCCATTCCTG